GCTTTGGGGAAGGTGGTGGCTTTCCACGTGTAGGCCCGTCAGCAGGGTTGAGGTCGGTGGGGTAAAACATGTAATGCGGGAAAATACCAGCCCCCAAATAAGGCCCAATCGAAGCTGAAAGGAGCTTGTTGCAGCCAAGCCCCACCTGAGAGTCGAGACCACTGAGAATCCTGACGTTTTGGTGGAGCCTGGCAACGTACTCCTCTTCCAACAAGTAGGCTCGGACCTCCTTGCAGTTGATGTGCTCACCATCTTTGAAACCGCGCCTCCATTGCTCGTGGTAATCAAGGCAGCTCGCCAAAATGTTAGCTAGCTCATTGGGCGGGTACGGATCCTCGTTCGGCAGCACATCATCCTCCGACAGCTCGCCCCGCTCGTACATCCAGGCCTTCACCGGGGGTAGCAGCTTGGTCCAGGTACCCTTTGCCAGCGAATGGCGACAGCACTCAAGCAAGATTGACGGGGTCACCTTAGCACGGACCGCAGCCCCACCCCAAGACGAGGCGTCGGTGGCACTGATGAAGTTAGCGGGCTTGGCTCTGATGTCGGCAACGGCAAAAGGACCTAAGGCAATCAAACACCAAAGCTCAGACTTCAGCTTCCCCGAGAGGCGAATGATAGTGCTTTGGTCCTCCAAGCCAGAGGCTGCGAAGATAAGATCCATGATCGACAGAAGACGGCGCCTCAGTAGTAGCACCGAAATCCAAGACCCACTCAGAGCCTTCATCAGCCCAACGGTGGCGTAGCCCAAGGAGATCACTCGAGAGGTGATCGCGATGAGAGGCCAAAGGCGCGACCTGGCAGGACGAACCAGCCCCAAGACCCCGTCCAGCTCGATGCCCCAGAACCTGCCGTACGGCTCGTTCTGGAACGCCTTCTTGGAGTTCGTCACGAGGTTAGCGCCTGCGTAAGCGAGATCAGCCAAAGCCATACGCACATCACTCCCCGATCGAGGCCACGGTCGAGGCGAAGTGCAAACACTCAAAGGAAGGAGCTCAAGCACAATCAAGTCGTCGATAATGACACCCACCTGAATATCGCTCCTAGGGACCGGGCTGGCCAAAGAGATGAGCTCGTTTTCCTTGAACACCCGTTTCTCGTACAGCAAGCACAAGTGGGAGGCCTGAGCATATTCGCAAGCCGAACAGTCGCCCATTGCAAGGGTGTTGAGCCCCACATGGGCCGAGCCACGGACCTTCACCTTCCCCTTTCCGAAAATGAAGTCCGCATCGCCTTGTGACAGGGCGCCACTGATGCAATTCCGAACCATTCGTTCGCGTCCCACCTGAAACTGGTAAAAGAAGTCCTTGAGGTCACGACCGGAGCAGCAGAGGCCCGCGCCCGGCGGGAGGTAAATCGCAGCGACCTTCTCGGCAGAGGCCAGGCATTTAGTCCAAGCATTCAAAGGAACTTCGTACACATTGGCCCCACGGCCGTCCAGAATGAGACGATCTCGTTCAAGATCCTTGATCACCGCAAACAGGCCCGAGCTAATCCCTTCAGTCACCTCATTGCTCTCAAGGATCCCCAGCCGGCCTGAAGCCGCCAACTGCCTTGGTAAGAGCAGCTTGTTCTCCGGAGTAGCCATGATACTGGACCTGGGCGGCGGTGGCTCGCGAGGTTCGGGTAGGCGATGCTGAAGGGGATGCTCATACACGGCTTTGGTCTTTGGGTCCAAGAAAGGTCGTGGGTCAAAGCTTGGCGCCGAAGGCATGGAGATGCGGCTGGCATCGATCGGCTTTGCATTCATAGCTTTTTCTCCGGATAGCGTGCCACACTGTGTCCCAAAGTCCTTGCGAGACGATCGGCTAGAGGACCAAGGACCGGCTCACCGTAGCTATCCCCTTGCTGCTTGTTTGGCTGGAAGGAGGCCCCGAAATACTTAGAGTGCGAATGCAAACTGGTGACCTCTCTCCAAATGCTTCCCAAAGTCTGGTCTTGGTCCTCCAACTTGGAGGCCGTGCGCCCGAGGTCGGGCGGCTCAAAAGTCAAAAAGTCACATCCATCCAGGTAGCGCTCCAAAAGCTTGACCACTGCCCATTGCCTCTTCGACAAGGGGCGCCCTGCTTCAAGGCCTGCGGGAGCACAGCTCGGCCGGGAAAGGTAGAGCCAGTTCATCGCAGCAACAGCCAACAGCCAGATTCACATAGCGTTTTTTCCAGGCCGATGCGCCGCCACATAGCCCATGGAAAACCTGGAACCTTCAGGGAGTGGCAGCGGAACGGGCCAGATGGATGGTGAAGCCGAAGTAGAAGTACTCGGCGCGCAGGTAAGACTGGAAAGGAAAGAAGCGAAGTCGCCCTTGGATTTGAGGACCCGCCCCCACATCGAATTCCCAAGGTTCGGCACTGAAATCACGGGTGCTTTCGCACCGGGCACCTTCAAACGGCCCTGCGAAGCATCCCGCTCAGGGACCCCAGAGGTCATGCACTTGGCTCGATCGCCGACTTGGCCTTCGGCTTTGGCTTTGGGCCGGGCTTCTCCTTTGCAGCTGGTTGCCCCTCCACCTTTCCAGGCGTTCGAGTGGTCTTGGCTCCCAGCTTCCTGCGCCGCTCCACGTAGTCGCGAAGGTGATGAAGGAAAATCTCGCCCCAGCGTGGCTCCATGAGGCGGGACATCGGCTGCTCGGTCGGGTCGGGCAAAGCTCGGTTCACAAAGGAGTGGACCGGAGGAGCCAGCTCCAAACTCGCCTCCGTAGCCAAAGTCCACGACCCTCGATCCAACGCCACTTGATCTGCTTGGAGAAGCATCAAGGCCGCTCGCGCTCGTCCCCGCAACTCCCCAGGCAGTCCGAATGGCTGCGGGGTAGTTGGTGAGCCGGCTCCTGTTCTCCAACCAAGCTCTCGCGCAAAGCGTCGGAGTGGGCATGCCTGGCGCCACCGTCCGGGACAACAAGTCCTCCATCATCAACTTCTCGATGGTGCCGTAGATCTCCTCCGGGTTCTCGTGGAGGGCTTGTCGCAAGGCTCGCCTGGCCATCGAGTTTTTCCGAGTCGAGACGTCTCCGCCTTCGAGGCCACCAGCACCTAAGGAGGCGCCGTCCAGCGCCTGCTCTAATCGAGAGCCTTTCTTCACGGTGGTGAGCTTCACCAACGCGGCTGCGACCGGGTCTTGCGGGGTCTCTTGCAAGGTTGGCTGGATGGGCAATGCTGAGCTTCCCCGCTGCTCTGTGGCGACCTCTTCCTCGGACTCGTCCAGCGCGCTCTGCTGTGGCCGCGCTGTAGCGCCGGGGTCCCTCAGTCTGCGGGCAAGCCGGGAGAACTGCTGCAGTGACTCCAAGTCAAACCACGCAGCCAGAGCGGACTTCACGACGCCAGCGTCGAGGCCCGGCAAGTGGGAAGCTTTCGGGCCAGGCGTTGCCTTCGGAACTTTCGGGGCCGGGCCGGCTGCTTGTGAACTCGCTCCGTGGTTAAGGCCTGCATGGAGGTAGCCAAAGTGCCAAGAGCTTGCTCCAATTTCTCCAGCCGTCTTTCCAGCCCAGGATTGCTCTCCGAAGCTGCAGGCGCTGCCGGGGCAGGAAGTTCGCCCTCGGTGGCCGTGTGGCGAATTGGAACTTGTCTTTCGCCACCTCCATCAGCGCCTCGGCATGGGGGCACGTAGTCGCGAAGGCTACCGCTCCCTAAGCACTTCAGCTCGATCGTCGCGCGCAGCGCCTGCCACCTCCACGGCCACCGCCTTGGAAAGAGAACCGGGCGGCAAGTTACGATGGGCAGCTCGCCGGTTCCAGGCACCTTGAGGTACGGCCACCAAGGACTTTGAACCCAAGACGCAGATAAGGATCACCTCGACAAACACACCAGCACCCTCCTCAGCGCCAGTCACGCGAAGGATCCCCACTTCAAAGTCGCAATCGGCAGTCTCACCGTCGTAGAGGTACAAGGTCCTGCCGTCGACCTCGTCCTCCTCCGCCTCTTCTGCGCTCATAGATCAGGAGGGAGCACAAAACTCCCAGCCTCCAATGCCACCCTGATGTCGCCCCGGCTCGGAAGGCCGACGAACACAGATTCTCCGGGATCACCGCCTTGTTTCACCAGATGTTTGGCCTCAGAGAAGCGGGAAAAGATGAGGGGCGGCGAGTACGCACGCCCACGGTAATCCCTGACCACGATCCAGTGTCGGGATGCTAGGCTGAGGCAATCTCGGCAAGAGCTGCCCCGGTAGTCCCCTTCCAGGGCCCTTCTCAAAAACTGTCCCACACGCTGGCAAACCTCAATTCTGCTCAAAGAAGGAGAGGGTGCAGCAGAGGGCCTAGCGGGCGAAGGCCCACCGACGATGTTCCCAAAGTCCGAGGAGGCGAGTCGTAAGAGGTAGCAGCCGGAGCCGGGGCAACAAGCTCAAAGTCCTGCCGCTCCAACTCAGAGACCCGGCTCAAGCGAGCCACCTCAGCTCGAAGTTCAAGCAGTTCCGCTCGCAGCGCGTCCAGATCCCCGGCAGTCACGTACCCACCAAGGACCATGCAACAGCCAGTTGATCACAGCAGGCGGTAAAGCGGAGCTCTCGAAGAGAACCCCAATCTGCGCAATGCTGCTCTGAACAATAAAATGCTGGCAGTCAGGACAGCTTCGCAAATCGGCACCAGAAGGAGCCCAACCAAGATACACACAATCAAAGAGGGCAAGTGGATACCCAGTTGCACTGAAGCTTCACTGTCTGAGCGCTCGGCCGGGCAGATCTGATCCAGAGAAGAGTCCAGAAAAGACGGAGAGACGACAAGGTCGGACGGAGAAGTAGGCTGAGTAGAGAGGAAGCGAAGGACGTGAAAGAAAAGAGAGAGGCCTGAGGTAGCCCCAGTAGCTACGAGGGCCCTTGACATGAGCCACAAAATCTTGCCGGTCGTTGGAGTTAAACATGAACTGGCATGACCACCAACCACTGCTAAGTATTAGCTAGTGATTAACAAATGACGACTACTACTGCTGCTCGTGCTTCTGCTACGACGGCTAGGATGATTACGGCTACGGAAACCACTGCGACGACTTTCAAAATTATCGAGCTTGCAGGAATGCTTGATCTGATCGATGCAGACTCCGAGGCCTCCGCGAGTCTCAAGTTGCAGCCAGCGATAGATGAGCGGCGTACCTCAAAACCACAAGGAGCCACGATACGTGCTCTGTAGAGGCATGCTCGCATAGAACAGTGCGCTCTCAGCGCGGTATGCAGAGAAGCTTGCCTCATGATCGCTCGGTTGATTCGGATCAAGGCCGAGCTCTACTACGATGCGACGGTGGAGAGCAACCGGGTCACCATCCACGGCCCATTCCATCCAGGCTCAGATGGCTCTGTACCCACCGGACTACTAAAGCCTTCATGCTGGCAGGTCGCAGGTACTCTTTGCGATCTTCTGCGTCCGCACTTCTCGATCTGGCTGGCAATCGAGCAGCTCTGCTGGATTCGCTCGTGAGAACAATGGCGTTCACAGGAAATCCCTGGTACGGACTGGATGAAACGGCTTGGCAGGTTGGCCAGGGTACGAGTTTGAGGGACACTTCTCAATGACAGGAAGGAGAGCGGTTGAGTGCTGAAGGATCTTGAAGGCATGTTGTCGCAAAGATCTGAGGCTCTAGACATGCCCTTGCACCCTGAGATCATAGAGATCAGCGATGATACGGATGGTGGAGTGCTCACTCATCATGTAGCGAGCGAGCGGTTGTAGCAACATGACTTGAGTCGTCCCCACCAGCCGATGTCTTCAGCGTTGACATTCGGGTGTCGTCTTTTGTGTGTACTGGTGCCATGTTGCAAGTTGTGATCACAACGAGGTCCGGAGGTCGAGTTACCCATGCACCGTGAGATGCAGATGCACGACACTTTCTCGATTCGGTTCTTTGGCCAGACAGGGTGATCGGTGGGAGAAGGCCGGGTTTGTGGTGGAAACACGGCCCGGCCCAGGTTTGATGAGGCCGCACTGCCTGGGAACCATCATGCTGGAGTCCATGCCACCACCATACTGTGGCATCGGCCGCGGCAGGCGGCAATTTGGCAGAGCAGTGTCGAACCTGCTTTCCACTAGCTGCGATTGTCGCCAGGCAGGAGGTCAGCTCTTGGTCCCTGATCGTTCTGTGGCATGTGCACTTCGAGGAGAGTGGTGGCTTACGCAGTCTTCTGCAGGCAAGCCCGCCTACCGAAATGCTGCGGTTTCACATCTCCTTCCGCATCCAGCTGTTGATTCAGGTGGTGCCAGAGAGGCCGCTGCTTCCAGGACTCTCCGCAACTGCTTGGCCTGCTTGCCCAACATCTACCAAGCTTGCAGGATTCACCTATGCTCTCGTGGTTCCTCCAGAGTTGGCTATTGACACAGCCACTCAGCACGAGCATGAGCTACTGCCGATCAGCTGAAGCCCCTCATGCGAGCTGTGATTCCAAGGTCGGCAATGTCCAGTCGGAAGGGGCCTCCGGCCATTATGTAGCTGGGCTTGCAATCTTCGATACCTATAGACTGCTGCCACAGTTAACAGGTTTGGGTTTATTCTCTTATTTCGGTTCTCGGCGTGTTGTGTGTTTTGTGTTTCTCAATTCCCGCATAGGTTCTCGTGAGTAGCATAGTTGCTGGCGACGGTTTGCTGAGGTCGTGGCGCTGCAACGGGATATTACACCACCTCATCTCGTTGCGGCAATGATAGACGGTGCCTTGGCAGCAAGGGGTGAATCTTGACGTTATTCTGGCAGTGGTGTGTTTGCGTCAGATCTTGACAGGCCGGGCTGCGCCGACCATCTTTGACCAGGCCGATGGCACTGTCGGGTTTTCAGAACAGTTGCTCCCTTCATGACCTCCTAACCTCTGGCAGGATGCCTCAGCCAGGGGGCTGGAGCTGGTCTTCAGCGAGGCACTCTTTCAGAAGCGATGTGCATTGCCAGTTGCCGCCATCCCAATCTGTCGCCAGTCTCTGCAACCGCTCGACACATCCGCCTCCCAACTTTTGCTGGTCCCGGACAACGGCCGGGCATCCCGGAGTAGATGCGATGACTGATCGCAGCCACATCTGAAATCTGGAGCGAGGTGGAGATCGCTGCAGCGAGAATGGTGCCTGTATGCCACGCAGGACTTCATGGGCAGAGAGAGAGAGAGAGCATCTTGTAGCAGTGGAGTCTGGCAATCATCTGCCACGCCAAAGCATGTCACAGCAGGAACTGCTCGTTTCCGTGCAGCTTCATACCAGCAAGCCGGTCAGTCACCATTCCAGCAGCCAGCTTGGAAGTGAGGCGCGCTTCTCTTTGTTTGCAGTCGAAACACCCACTTGTAGTTTGGAATTGGATGGATCAGAATTTAGGAGGAAAGGTTTCGGAGCTTTGGACAAGTCGACAGTGTCTTCAGGATGGATGGTGTGTGTGTGTGTGTGTGTGTGTGTTAAGGTTTCGGTTGCATCATTGCAAGCACGGTGCAAAGTGGGCCTGCAATGCAGGGGGCCCATCGTCAGTGTGGACCTTGCGCACTTGCCGTCGTTGGAGTATGGCCATGGCTACACGCAGGTTGATTTCACTTGCAACAGCTGCTGAGCATGGGTCATGTTTGAAACTGGATTCAGCACAAGGCAGGTCCTAGGCATCCGTCGCAGAAGTTTGCGATAAAGATGCAGCACAAGACGAGAAGTCTGCGAGTCACAGCCCTTGTCACCCCACAGTCGCCATAGTCTTCGATGTCGAAGTCAAAGCCTCGACAGGCTGCATGTGCAAGAAGATCTATTTCTGGACATGATTGGACATGGCTGGCGCCGTGCCCGCAAGGAAAGTGAAAGTGCAAAGATGTGCAAAGCCTCCGGACCGACAGCTGTCGACCCGTACTCTTCGGGTAGGTTCGTTCATGTGCAGCTCGTGGAGCTTATCGAAGCCAGAGTGATCCGCAGCATCGTACCACACTCCACCTGCGATGATCCTCAGCAGCGACCGAGCCCCAAAGGCAATGCAGGTGTTGCCGCAGAACGAAGCGGACCAGCTGAGCCCCCTGACTGCAACTTGAGGTTCGTGGCATCTCTCCCCTTTCTTTCTTCTGCCTGACAGGCACTCGCTTCAGCCACTCAACTCGTCCACTCTGACTATCTCTTTTTCTCAATTCTTGAAACGGCAAGAATCCACGGCGCCAGAAAGTAACAGAGCGAACATGAGCGAGTGAGATTTTCAAGGCGGAGGCCCACTTGAGGACCAAGCCAAGAAAAAATCAGTGTCTGTTATATACCTCCAAGACGATTTGTCCAACTCCCTCTGCGCGGTTGGTTGTCGAGGTGGCAAACTCCGAGGCACAAGTCTCCCTGCCCGCTGCCCGTCGGTTGGGGCCAACCGCTTGGAGCTTCAGGTTTGCAGGTGATTGCAGGTCTTTTGTGGATCCGTAGACGATCTGGGGCCTTGCAGCGCTGAAGGCCAGCTGGTAAGCGGCAGCTGCAACCTCAAATGCCAGGATGAAACTGCAGATGATCCGGAAATCGTGGCGACCTTTCCGGCAGATGGAGAGCTGATGGCCTGGAGCTTACGCTTACCGCGATCTGAGCCCGCCACCTTTAGCGTTCTCCTGAAACCGCAGGTTCCGCAAACTTCGGCCTTGCAGATCACGTTTGACCGGCCCATCCAGGCAAGATGTCGAACGTGGTCCCGTCTTTCGCATTTACAGCGTGGCTAGACATGGCGTGCCAGGTGGGTTCGGGAGACTTTGTCCTCGTCCCAACGAGAGAACTCAATGGGAGTGCCGGCAGCCAAGTGTCAATCTCCGGAATTTCAGGGCTGGCCGAACGCTGATGACTTCTGGAAATTTGGCTCAAGTAGCCATTGAGTGGAGCATGCACTGCAGGTGTATGGCATCCGAGAGCAGAATGCCTCGCGACCCTTGGCAGCAAACACTCTACCATGTTTACAGGAATGCACAGACCCAAGAAGAAGTATGCGGGGCAGGCACTGCAAACTACTGTCTGCTACCGAGTGACATTGTTCACCTGTATCTGAGCTGTCAAGGGTCAGGAAGTGATGAGCACCAGCATGATGTCGACGATGAGAACAACAGCGATGACAACCAGAGTACCGAAATGCCCCTCGCCACTTTGGGAGTATGCCCAAACATGGCAATTCCCGGCGGGGTCACTGCAGGCCGAGACATTCGGCTTGACCCGAGGCTTCAGATCGTGACCTGCCCAGGTGGGGAGACGACAGCTCCGCTGGTCCAATGCGCCCGAATTTCACGACCATGGCAGATGCAGCTCGGCAGGGGGCACATGCAGGAAGGCACGTTGCCAATTCCAAACTTCATATGCATGCTCGCTTGCAACAGCTGCATCATGCTGCATCGCAGCAGCGACAAGGTAGTCGCTCGTCTTTCATAAGGGCTTTCAACAGGTGCGGTCATGTGCGCCGCCAGCAAGCTGCCATGCTTCACGTGTGGCTACGGCGCCCGGAGACCTGGCTCAAGTTATGAGTCGGGGGGACCCCAGACCCCAGACCCAGAGCTCGCGGCGGGGCGAGAGTGAGACGAGACCTCAGACCTCTGCCACGAGCACGTAGGTGACAACTGCGCCTTCCTCCGGCTGGGATGGGGAGCTGCGCATGGCGCCTGTGCCCTACACAGTGCGCGCCTGCCACCAAGCATTGGACATTATGGGTTGGGGTATGTCTGTTTGGGACTTGATGGTGATGTGCCATGGCCGCCCGTAACGCCGGCATTGCAAGCTGTAGTTCTGGCTTTCAGGGGTTAAGTTAAAGCGCTCTCATACCTCTGCACAAGCACGGCCTCGACAATGTTGACTCAGACGGCGCCGTAAGTTGCGTTCCTGCTGAGGTATGCCATTGGCTACACACACACACGGAGCACTGCAGGAATGAACGGTGGGTGAGTCATTGCCGTGCCGTAATGTTCGCACGAATCCGTCTCCGAGCGTTTTCGCAATTTGCGGTTGTCCTCTCCGACTCTCTTTGTGTCACCCCGAACTCCTATTCCGGAATTTGCAATGACTGGAACGGCAAGCTGCAAGGTGCAGGGCCGGCCTGTTGCATCGGGGCCTCTCCGGCGTCTTCCTTCCTTCCAGGTCATCGTCGGGTGGCCAAGAGACGAGTTGCTTTACATGCTGTGGAGCGGGCTGTGCAAGTCGGTGTCCGAGGACCGGAGCTACATGTTTCTGAGTGTCAACGCAGTCTTCCCATCGGGCCAGACCAAGCCGAAGCCAGCAGAAGAAGACGAAGAGCTCGGGGCTTAGCCTGCGCCTCTGGCCCCTTTGAACCGCCGCAAGGGGGCCCTTTTTGCCCAGGCACGGACAGCCGCCTGGGCCGCCTCGTCGTCTCAGCCACGGTGAAGACGAAGACGACGACGAGGCCACGCGGCGCCACATGCCACGTGCTGTGTCTGTTCGTGCAAGCATGGCCAGAGCTAGAGCCAGAGCCAGTGCCACCGTGGAACACGCTACCCTAGTGACCCCTCGACGACGGCAGTCCTCCTTCCTTCGGATGCTTCTCGCAACGGAGGCCTTCGCACTCAGCCCGAAGCACCAAAGGTCAGGATCCCAGAATTCGCAAAGTGCAGGGGGTTATACAGATGGACGTGGACGTGTCCGAGTGGTGTGCCACGTGAGGAGGGCGACAAAGCCAGGAGCCATGCCCCTGGGTCACTGAGGTATGCCGCAAAAGGGGCCACCATGGCAATCAACTTCTCGGCTCGAGTCCAGGCAGCCACACAACCTTGCGCTACCATGACCTTGCACTTGAATTGCTCTTGCAGTTTGGGGCTGGGCGACTTCTGATTGTGGACTGCTTTCCAGGCAACGCCTCGAGGTCCAACATGCTTTTGGTTGGGGAATTCGTCGTCAGTATGCTCAGCAGCCATGTCAAGCTTCCTGATTGATCCATGCTGCGTCCGCCACAGTGGACGTTGTCAAGGCAGCACAGGATTCTTATGCTGTTGCCGTGTTCAGCACAGATTCGTGGCTGTGCCTGCGCGCTCACGGCTAACGCTACCCACCGGTGGTTCGAGTCTTTTGGCTCCCAGCAGATCCGCGGAGCACTGCGGAGCCAAGAGACTTTAGGTGGCCAGTGTCGTCGCTTACCTTGCCTTGAGAACTGAGTGTTTCTTCGAGTCTCTCGTGACACTTGCCGGTCGGTTCGCTTGGTTCGCGCCTGGTGGAGATCAGATGCAGCTTGAGGGCTGACAGTGCTTCAGTGACAGCTGTCAGGACTCGTTGTCTCTCTCGCCCTCTCTTCGCACCGACGATTTGGATGTTGACTTGCCCAGGACACTGGCCATGATTTCTGGCGAGGCGCGCAAGACTCTAGTCGAGCCGCGGGCCAAGCCAAGGGGGCCCGTGATGCATGCTTTCCGGAGTTGACCTTGCTCAAAACATGTCTCACGGTTTCACGCCAAAGTTTTAGGACGATAGAGGTGATTCACGTCATCTTCCTCTCGTTTAGGCTTCCTTAGTTGCTCTGTACCTGATTTTCGAAATGTTGCATCGGGTCCTGAACCAAAGCGGAACGCTTCACCAACCCTCATGAACTCGCAGTCCCCCTCATGCCTTGATGCTTTCGGTTCCCTTGAGGCTTGCTGCGATCTGCCGCTGGTCGTCTACGGTGCTGCAAACTCGGCTCCAGAGGCAGCGAAACTCTGAGATGAGCAGTGGCCTCGAACTTCTTCCAGATAATCTCAGGATCTGAGCTTCTGCAACAAGATCTGAAGGACTCCTATGAAGTGCTGTGACAAGCTTCGACCCCTTACTGACAGGCTGTGGCTCGGAGACGTGAGCACCTCTGCCAAAACCTGGGCCTTTCCTTGACATTGAGCTGGCCTCTGACTGTTCCGTTTCGGCCTGACTGTTGTGGTGCCTGAAGGGAACGGCATTGGGCAGGATAAGGAGGTCTCTCTCCGGGTCCAGAATGTCTACCAGCAGGGTGAGCACCCAGGCTGCAACATGCAAACTTGATGTGGAGGGAGGAGGGCCATGTCAAATCATGCGATGCGTTGCGGCGCTGCTTTAGGACATCGCTGGGAGTTGTGCAAGGTCGGTAGTTCTCAAACGAGCCCCTCTTGGCCAAGGCACCTACCTCTTCAGGCCGTCCAGGCTCCCCACTCCTTTCCAGTCGGCGGAGCGCTTCCTCCCCAAGGCCCTGGAGCTGTGATGTGCAGTGCTCGTTCGCCCGCTTGAACTCGCGTTTCCTCCCTGCTAGCCCCAACCACGGGTGGTTGCACGCCTGGACCGTTCCATCATGTTCCATCGAAGACACCTCTATGACTGCGTGGAGGATTAAAGCGTAAGAACGCCCACTTCAGCCAGGCCTGCAACTGCAGGGGCCCTGTGGGCTGCAAATTCCCCGGCGGTTGCAGCCTCAGCTTGAAGTGCCAGTGTCGCTCTCGCTCATCGTAACAGCAGATGCGTCTATGACACTATGATTTACGATTTATTAACGTTTATGACAAACCTGAGTAAAACAGAAAGCAAAGCTGAAAAGCTGAAGGCGTTTCTCGTGGCCTCAGTGTGCGGCGATGTAATTAGGCTGCATGGTCTTTGTGGCTTAGGTGGACCAGGCCGGCTGCAGCCTTGCCCTGTAGAGGCCAGGGACAGGCTGACAGTGTCAGGAGGTGAACCTAGACCCCGTGCATGTCATTCCAGGTTGAGGCACGCTGAGCTCCATGGCCCGCGTGCTGCGTCGCTTGCGACCGGAGGCAGCGGACGTGATACGCTTTTTCTACCTAGAAGCTGGGCTGCCGAAAAGTCGAACACTCGAAGGTTTTCTGCTTCGCTGAAGTGTTTCGGTTGTCTCTCCAATGAGCTCGTGCGCAAATGGTGCGAGGTCTGGGGGTGCAGGAACTGGGGAGTTTGTGGCGGCCACCAGGCAAAGGCGGGATCAGCGCACTGTCTTTTCGAGCTGCCGAGATCTGCGAAGTCCCTCGTGCTTGGCATGGCCTGGGATGTGCCGGGGCAGGCCTGCCCAGTTTTGGATGTTTCCAAGTACGGCGCGTAGACGGTCCTAGTCTTGCTGGCTTGCCTGCTGCGTCCGTTCTTTTAACTTAGCTGTCATGTAGGTGGCCAAATCAGTCAATGTTTCCGGGAGATGGCGCCGCTGCCTCAGCGTTTGCTCAGTTCATCTTGTCGTAAGTACACAGATTCAACAAACAAGCCATACCTCACGCCTGATGGTCACGGCAAGCCTCTGCGTAAAGCAAGGCACGAGTTGTGTTCCGTTTTGGTTTTGCATCGGTAGCCTGTTTTAGCCAACACAGCGACGCAACACCAGGCCAGGCCAAAGTCCATGCCGGCCCTAGATCCTCACGCTCTGCTTGCGTTTTTCCTCGCCTGAAGGTGGCCAAGAATCTGCAGCCGTGGAGGCCGGAGTGTTTCCGGGCTCTGGTTTCGGTTGGTCCGACTTCGATCCTCGTCTGACACTTTGCAAGCGGCTCAGAGAGCCCGAGACCTGAGGCACCTAGTATGATTCCCTCGATCCTTTGGACCAGAGGGATAGCTTGTCTTCATGAGCATCAGAAAGCCCCCAAACAGAAACAGGACACTGCTTTCCCAGCCTCAAGATGCGAAGCCTTTCGAGGCTGAAGCTTGATGCCAAGCTACGCTTTCAAGCCCTAACCCGAGGCCTAAACCTCGGCCCAAGCCTCCGAACCCCACGCCGAGCTTGGCTGCACCGTCCCCGCACGGCTTCGACCGACCGCTGTCGGGCTGGGGTCCGGTACCTCGGCAAAGTTTTCTTTCCACAGAAGAGGCTTCCAACAAATTTGGGGTTTGCGCTTTCCGGTGAGCCCTGCCTGGCCCTAGGCGTGCTTCCGAGCATAGAGGTTGTGGCGGGATCAGAGCGTGGTTCGTAGTACCTGAGCGGGAAAGCCGAGCCTAGCAGTCGTGCAACGTCCTTTTCCCGAAGTTCTCCTCTCCGCACGCTTGCGCATCTCCCGCTCATAAAGATTATTGGTGTCGGTTGAACGATGCCTGGAGTCTCCCAACACTTTAAGGGACAGAATTGAAGAAGTGTTGCTTTGCGACAGGCGATCCGGGTCGTTGAGAGGCGATGTAGGGGTCCCGACTCCCGACTTCGTTGTTTGCACTTCGAGTTTCGAAATATGTAGAACATCGACGACTGCATGACCTGTATAGTGGTTGTGCTGCACAGAACCAGACATGTGCCATCCATGAGTATCCCCCCAAGCCGCAGTCCATGGTGACTTCGAGCCGAAGACCAAGCCTCCAGACGAATACTGCCTGAGTCTTGGGAAGATCACAGATGTGCTCAGGAGCGAATTTATCAAGAGACACTATTTTGGATCAAGGCCGATTGGCCGGGTATTGTGGGGCAACAGGTGACAGTGTCGTGACTCGTCATGCGATGTTGTCTCAACCCTGAATTCCCGCAGGAGTGACTATCCGGAGCCTCGGCAGAATCTAGCATCGCCACCTCGGCCTCGCGCGTGTCGGGTCTTCTGACTCTGTCGGCTGCCCCTGAAATCTCATGACATGCGAGCGCTGCGACCGGAAGAAGCGTTGACATGCTGACGGCTAAGAGCAGAACTTAAGAGATGATGTTGCTTGGAGCCCTGCTCCCGGTCCTGCCAGGTGAGAGGCCCAACATCTGTGAATTGCAGTTTATCTGGTCTCTGGCCGTCCGTTGTTTCGCTAAACCATGTTTTGTCCTAACCATTCCTAACCAATATAAGCTGTTCTATTCTCTCCGATGTCCTTCCAGCAACATGCTCTGACCTGTGAAACTAGATGCCAGAGAGTGTATCCGTTTCTCCAGTCTAGTCACCTGACAATGGCTAGGCACTCTGCACCTTAACGCCGAACGTCACATGCCGCCCTACCCTACCGCTACACTTTCTACCATCCTACCCCCTGCAATGCCTTGGATGGGGTCGAGGTTTCAGGGTTTAAAGTGTTGGGTCTTACGGGTGGTGCCCGGTCCAAGGCGTAAAGGTCATGCTGGTCTGTGGACGTTTGTTGGGACAATCTTTTTCCAACACAACTTCATCTTGCGAATATTATCGGTTGTAGGGTAGCTCTAGGGCGACATGTGAAATTCGGCATCTTGCTCTCCAGACCAATCCTGTGTGTGTGTGTGTGGGTGTGTGTGTGTTTCTCAAGCCTAGATGTCACGTACTCAGAATTGCTGCTCGACGTCGTTGCTCGAGTTGCTGGCAGCTTGTTTCTCTACCATTCATGCATCTTTCCTGTACCTTCCTCGCCATACTAAATATTTCTTTGCCAGAGCTCCAGACTTCAGCATTTACGATGAGCTGCCTGGCAGAACCGCTTTCCGTTTGCTTTGCCAGTCGGTGTGTGCAGTAGGGGTATCCTGCAGAAAGGAACCCGCCAAGTTACCCGAACGGAGCTCTTTCTGAAACAGCGTGGCTTGTGAAAGCCTGAGGGCACTGACGCTGCAACTACGGAAGCCGTGGGATGAGCCAAAGCAGCTGGCCGGATGCCTGTCGACTTGCGAGTCTTGCTGCAAGAGCCTAAACCCAACCCAGAGGTCAAACCCGAAACTCTGGCTGTTTAGATGGAAACCTTCGGTTTCGGTTCCGACAGACTTGGAAGTGGTTCGCTCGCTTGGAGGTTCAAGGCTAGCGGTGCTACTGTAGTTCTCCTCGAGTGGCAAGCGCAGAATTTGCTCGCAAGCTGGAAGCTTTTGCAGCTCGAGCTTCAGGAAACGTGCCTCTCATGCATTCGTGCATTGAGCAAGAGAGTGATTCACGATGGACTTGCTGCTTGGTCGCAGACATGACGTAGACGAGGTCGTCAAGTCAGTTACTTTCTGTGTGCCAGTCTTCTTCGCCGGTGCTTGCCTAAGGTTGAGTGCCAGGTCTGTGACGGCCGACCGCAGCTTTGATGTATTGGGACGGAGGTTGAAAGTCATGTGGTCCTATGTTGTCGGACGCTGCAAGGGCTACCATCGGGGAATGGCAGCTCGAAGTCAATTCTGAACCACCAGTAGGAGCGCGACGATGTTCTGCGTCCTGTGGTTTGAGATGACCTAACAGAATCTAACAGGTGCTGTAATCCCACTCGGTGAGCGTGAGACCGGGGACTGCTTTGAGGTACGGTTTCGATCTTCGGGTACACTGGACTTGCCAGGGGCAGCTGCGTTTAGGTGGGCCGTCTGGTGTTTTTCGCAGTCCATGTGCACTGCAGATAGGTGCAGCTTCGCGCGGGTAGTGACAAAAGCCAATAAGGAAATGATTGACTTTGAATTGAACGTAGATTGATGGTGGCCTGTAGTTCGGATGGTAGACGAATGTAGACGACTTTCCAAGGCTACCCCAAACTATCTTTGCGGATTCGTGTGGCTTGGAAACCGTAGCTGCGTACCACAAAACGAGCCGAGATAAAGTCGGCAGGTCATGGTCTCTGCACTACGCGTTTGGTCCAGACCCCATTTTTGGACGGTCTAATTATTCCCGAATGAATAAGAGCACAACCATGGCCCTGTTTCCTCCCGATTACACCCGATTACACACTGAAAATTCAGGTATAAGTAGTGACACTTTCCGGCAGATGTGAAGACTCAAGACCCGCAGTTCTGTTACTTCTGTCTGTCTTGACGTTCTTTTAGTTTTCTCGTCTGACCACAGCCTGGCTTTAACAATCCTTGCGCCTGTGGTTGGAGGCACTGAGAAAAATATTGGGCACAACGAGTCACAAAGATAGGCAGGCAGAGACGGACTACACACGAAGATGCTTGCACCGTTATGCCGGTACTTGGTTGTAAATAGTTTGGCAGCTGGATGGTGCCACTCGCAACATCGTAGCCAGCAGCCAGCTGGACGCAACTAGCAGCAACATGATTCGATCGACATCCGTGCACAAGACCGGAATGGACACGCTGCGCTCGGTTGCGACTCATGTCAGAGCCACTCTTGACCAGAGCACCGAATTCAGACCGCCCGAGAAGGCGATTTTCAATTTTCATCGCCTCAACCCAGTACAGCCCATCGTGGCGACTAAGGGACCTTGGGCAAGGTTTTTGTTGAGCAACTTACGGTGGGCTTGAGCATTTCTTCGTCGAGGGTTTTTGATATGAAGTCTTCGTAACGGTTGCGCCAGCATCTCTGACAAGCGCAGTGGGATTGAGGAGGGGTTGGGCATACATTGGGGCTCAATTAAATTGTTACTTAAATACTATACTACTGCTCAATACCACCAAAACTAAGCTACATCTGGCCACCCGGTGGTGGGGCTGGGGGGGGCCGGGTGGGATTGGGGGCATACATTGGAGTTCAATTAAATTATACTTTACTACTACTATTCAATACTTAGCCAAATCTCTAGCCACGGGGTGGGGCTCGAGTGAGTCGAGTGGGGCTGAGTAGGGCTGGGCATTAGCATTTGCTGTGTGGGAAGCTTCTGCAACTTGCAGATGTGAGAGGCTACAGAAGCTTCAAGATCTCGGCTATATCCTTGTGCGAGATGAGAAAGCAGGAAAATCTGGCGGCCGATCCTTGGTTTAAAATTGATCTTCGGAATCTTGCACCCGCTGCCAATGTCATGTCGAGCCTGGGACGTTGGCCCTCTCTCGTTCATTCCCATTCCTGTCTGCTTGCACGAAGTACGGTTCGGTAAGGAAGAGCGGGTGGCCTTCACATTGTGCAGCCACTGTCAGCTCTAGTCTCACTCTGCATGCAAGGATTCGCAACAACTGGCGTGGCGGATCCACAAGCACGTGATTGCCCCTCCGGCTTATGTTTGACTGTGAAGGAGAGAACAGTTGGACGCAGGAGCTGAATGATTCATGTACAAGCCGTGAATCGGTGGGAGGTGAAAGCATACTAGCATGCAACTTTGCCGGGTTGCCTGTCTGTACACGATGTCTGCCAGCAATCCGTGGATTGCATGCTCTTCGGAACTTGGGCCGGAGACGCAAAAGGTTTTGCTCAGAGCTCAATATTGGTGCACTGAGGATGTCACAGAGATTCGCCCCTGTTGCCTTCGGCAGACTTTGATGAATGGCTTCGAGGATCGCCCACCCGGGATGTACTGCAGATGTGCACCACGCACTTGCGTCACCTAAGCTTGTGCTCAGAAGGAGCTGGAGATGGAGCCCGCTCCTTGAAGCTTTGCAGATACCTTCAATTTGCCGCAGCAGCTCAGCTCATCTTTCGACGGAATATTGCATCGGATGCAAGATGCCAGTGACTGTCACATCTAGGCACTCTTTGCGGTTCTATCTCTTCGAGTTCGAATGTTTACAACCAACTTGGCCTTCAAGCGGGCACGTTGCGAAAAGGGCAGAATACAGGAATCACTAGTGAAACTGGCAGGGTGCAGAGGTCCCGACAGTCCTGTCTGTTTCACCCACGAGTCCTGACGACGACGGTCTGATGTGGGCTTGCCTCGCAGGTTGTCCATTCGCCAGATGACATCCTTCAAGTGACTACAAATGCTGCTGAGTGCATATCCATAGCTTTTTCGGGTGCTTGACTCTCCTGTAATAGGCAGTCTTAGGCTGGGAGCCTCATGCGGGTCCGCAGCTCAGAGTCCTGGAGCATGTGGGTTTGTACTGCTACTCCCCGGTGTCAGCCCACCTACTGCCACACTGCGTTGGAGCTCTCTTTCAGAGGGGGCGTTTCCTTGCGGACGTAAGTGGTGAAGCGGGCGAGTTGCTTTGAGATCTCCTGTTATCTGGGCTGCTGTTGCTACGAGTCTGCGCCGATGTAAACCGAGGCACCTGCGCAAAATTCGTCCTACGGTTGTTTCATGCGGTTTTCAAGTCCCTGAAGCAAGCGATCAAGAATTATTTCAAGCACATTTGGAGGGGGAGCGCTGGTAGGTTTCGCAAAGGAGCCGTCCAGCAGCGCTGGATCCAGGCTCCCCCATAGGTAGGTAGCTGAGATGCTGTGCAATCTTCGCAACGAAAACTCTAAAAGGAGTTGGCGCTTACATGCCGCGTCATTTTCCCAGGAAGTGGATGGCTCCATAATTCGTGAATATAATCGTGCTCTTTTACTCCTTGAGTGTTGCGGTGAGTTACAGTGCCTCGTCGTTTTTCATATCCTGAGAGGCAGTGGTAAATGTAGTAGGACCCGTGTACGTGCAAGCGTCATGCACATGACCTGTTGGGGTAGCTTCGGCTCGAGGCCACTGAGCCTCGACTGCTAGGTGCTGACCGTGCGTTCCAGCTGACACTTGATCTTTTCCTGCGAGGATGACCATGGAGGTATGGGGTCTCACGCAAGCCGTGGGTACGGATCAAGTTTGCACAGGAGGCAGTTCATCGGGTCACACCTTTGCGTATCCAGGTTCCGTTTCCTCCAGGCCATCCCGTGAGGGATGGTTCCCGAATTGGGAAGGTGTTTCTCAGAGCGTGTGCCATGCGATCCCAGGGGTCAACAGAGCAGCTGACTGCGGATGTCTTGCTGGCGTGCCACTTGTAACATTACCTAGGATCAAATACAGCTCGAGTGACCAGCATCTGGTGCCTCTGCAACTTGTTGTCCGCTATCTTCGCTATGACCCCTCGGTCAGCCTGTACAGAGAGGCCGGTGTGTGCAAGCAGGAGGCAGATGAAGAAGTTATGGGCATCGAGGTGAGCCAGCCTCACCCCTCAGTGAGATTGGCGATGCACAGACACAAACGCTCTGCCTGTAACATGTGTCCGAGATCCGTTCTTCTGTAAATTTCAATAGTTGTTCCGGATCAAAGGATTAGCCATGCTCTCTGCGCTTTGCAGCAGGTCACATCTGACGCCGCTGCGGAGCACATCCTTCTTGATGGCATGCGGGCTTCCCAGCCTAAAGAAGCTCGATGCCTCGACGACTGCTCTGCAGTTTTCAAGCTACAACTAGCGATGCACTACATCGAAGGCGCCAGGCAACAGCTGCAGTAAGATGATCAGGGTCCTGAGCAACTATTCACCGAGACATGCCTGAGTGGGCGATGCGGGAAGGAAGACTGCCTAGTATGGCCATCATAATTGCCATGATCAGTTGTATTGCAGTGACGATTTGATGACTCCGACAACACTTTGACAAGAGCTCAACGTTTCCGAGGCAGGCCTTGCTGGTGTCTTGCGGGCTGCGGCCTGGCAGGCTTCATGCCTTGCGCAGCCACGTGCTGGGAGTCTTCCGGGACGAGGAGATGGGGAGGGGAGCGGTTTGTTGACTGCAAGGCCGAAGCGAAATCTCCCCTCTGAGAGGACGGGAACCCTCTGCTGCACTTGATTGAGCTGCCTTTGGCCGCAGCCCCATTAGCTCTGAATCCCACAGTGTTTTGACCGCAGCTTGTCTGTGAAGTTTCGGACGAGTGTTGGCCCTGCGTTAAACGAGCCCTTGGGCGAGTCGGCGCGAGGGCGGCGCCCCGACACTCTCTCGCAGAAGGCAGCAGTCAACACACCTTGCGGTTGCTTGTTGTTTGGTGTCAGCAGCTGCAGATGTTCTGATATTGACAATGCGTCATCGAGGTCGATCACTCGCTCACTCAATCGCTCACAGGTTTACCTTTCTGCCTTTGTTTGCTTGTCATTTTCTGCTTGTTCTTGCTTCAGTTTTTTCTATTTTTCCGTTTCTCTGCTTGTCTGCTTCGCTCTTCCGTTCCTCCGCTTTTCTGCTTGTTTCGGCTTTTCTTTCTGCCTTCTGCCAGTGTTTGCTTGTATAGTTTCTGCCTGTTTGGCCTTTTGCCTTTCTGCATTCCGCTTGTTATGAACCAAAATCATAGGTTGTCTACCGGCAAAACACATAGCGCAGCACACACATTCCCTGCAGGCCAAACGAAAGTGCCTCATCTTTTCCGGTCCCGTCTTGCTCCGCTTTTCGCCTGTCCGCCCTTTTGGTTTCATGCTGCTCCGAAACACCAAATGAGTTCTGAGGCCCACAACAACGATGACTGCCACTACTGCTATTGCTTCTACTTCTGCGGCTACTACTACTGCTACGACGACGACGACGCCTACTAATAATCACAATACCCACAATGCTACAGTAGGAGGGTGTGTGTGTTTTTTCTGTTATTTGTTTTGTCTTTTTGTTTTGGGTGACGGTGGAGGCAGGAAAGGCACGCGCAAGGATGACAGGAAGGAACGAAAGACACAAAGCAAGAAAGACAGAAGCACAACGGAAAGACATACGAAAGGATCACACGAAGGACGGGCAGAAGAAAGAACGAACGAACCAGCGAACCAACAAGCCAGAAACAAAAGCAGAAAGAACCAAACAAGCAGCTAAACAGGCAAACCAGCAAAAATACGAAGAAGGAAAGAACGAAAGAACGACTAAAATCACAATGTAAGGACAGAAAGAGGGAATGAGAGGATATACGGCGAGAAAGAAAGTACTTGCACGAAAGAAAAGCCTAAAGACAGACAGCAAGAGAGAGAGAGAGAGAGAGAGAGAGACAGAGTGAGAGAGAGAGAGAGAGAAAGACAGATATTGGCAAATAGATAAATACGCAAGTGAATATACACACATATATACACATATGCGTCTGAAGAACTTTTCTGTATCACGAGACGTACCTGCCAAGGCAGGAGGACAAAGGTGTACATAGTTTAGACAGCTTGGGTGGTCCGGGTCTTGGCCCAAACTATCTAAACTATCTTAACCTTCCCGCCCCGGACCAGCGGGACCGCCCCAAACTATCTAAACTATCTAAACTGTGTACGCCCCAAACCAGCCGGACCGCCCCAAACTGTCTACACTATCTAAACCCCTTCCCGCCCAAGACCAGCGGAACCTCCCCAAACTATTTAAGCCGGGAGGGTTTCGATAGTTTAAATAATTTAGATAGTTTAGATAGTTTGGGGAGGTCCCGGTGGTCTGGAGCGGAGAGGGTTTAGATACAGTAGTTTGGGCCGGGACCCTGCCCTCTATTTGGGAAGTTTGGGGAGTTTGCGGGATCTGCGGGGAGGGGTTCGGGAGGGAGTTTAGGAAGTTTGGGCGACCACCCCTGACCCCTCAAACTCCCTAAATTCCCTAAGCTCTCTATTTAGGGAGTTGAGTTTGCGGAGTTGGGGGACCTGCGCGGAGGGATTCGGGAGGGAGTTTAGGGAGTTTGGGCGACCACCCCAACCCCCCAAATTCTAAACTCCCTTTCCTCTCTATTTAGGGAGTTGGTCTGCGAGGAGGGATTCGGGAGGGAGTTTAGGGAGTTCCATAAACTCCCTAAACTCTCCAGGCTCTGTAGTAGTTTAGGGAGTTTGGGGAGTTTGCGGTAGGGTCCCGAGAGGGAGGTAGTTTGTGGGGTCCACCGGTGTTGATTGAGGCGTTTTGCGGAAGACACGCGACTTCCTCGGTGTCTTTGTTTTTCTTGTGTTTGTTGCTTTAGGATAATAATAATACAAGGTAACGAAGGAACAGAAGCATGCTTCTATTCTATTACACTCTGCGAAACAGCCAGGGCAAAGAAAAAGGACAGCGAGTGTTGTTAGTTGAATGAATCTTTTAAACACTTTCAGTGCACCACATCGTTTCAATCCGTTCAAATGAACCGCGCAAGAGACCTAATGCTGCACCCAGGGAAATTCCATCCTTCCTCTAATCTTCCGCATCTTGATGCTGGAACCTGTGGATGTCCCGATCACCAACGCGCAGTTATTTATGCCCACATATTTGAAAATGTTTGTTGAAGGTCGACCAACGGTTGCAGGGTCAGGTCCTGTACGGGATCGGGTGATGGGGATATGGATCTGGATTTTGAACTTTCATGCTCGAGGGCAGCTTTGCGCAAAAGGCATTTTCGGGTTTAGCTCCCAGATCGGTCAAGCAGCCAGCGATCTCAGAAGCTTGTCGATAGAGGGTTCCGGCTGTAGAGGTGCTTAGCGTAATTCAGAGCTCCCGCGACCGATGGATGGGAATGCTGGCTTTTCTGCACGACGCACATGCAGGTGATGTGAGTGAGACTTTTGATGTTCAGAAGCGGTGGGCATGCAGGACTTGTTGTCAGGGCCAGGACGTTGCTTCCACATGCGGGCGCTGCGGAGTGCTGGCCAAGGGAGACGCAGCGGCAGCTCATGGTCTCACGCAGCAATGTGTGCTGATTGGGCCCCATTCGGTTTTTGGAGGCGTCGACAGGGAAGGGACTCGGAAGTTCACTGGCCTGTTTTCGGCTAGAACGATAATT